AGAGCGGTTAGAAAAATAATATTGAAATTTAAAAAAAATATATTCAATTAATTGAAGTTGATTTTTACAAAAATTTCTAGAATAAATCCAGTCATAGGATGTTATGAAAATCCACAAGCAAATCCTTTAGAAAATATGACAGAGGAACAAAAGGAATATGAAGCCATGAAATTAGTAGGCCTTATAGATCAATTGCAAAAGTAAGACAATTTTTTGACAAAAAAATATTTCCATGTGATATTTTAAAAATTACTTTCTCTCGTTCCATCTTTAATTAAAGCATGTAGTTTATATTTTTAAATTATTTTTAATTGTTTGTAAGGAATATTGTCTTTATCGATTCAATTCTCTTTTCTTATTTACGAAAAAATAGTTCACTCAATATTGCCTAATTTTATGTCATATATATATATATATATCTATAACATTTTTTCTTTATTGTTAATTTCTTTTCAAATTTAGAGAGGGTCTAATTCAACCATGTCGTATAGGAGAAGATGGCAAACCGAAAGCAATCGAACATATTTTGGAGTTAGAAGATCAATTGCAACAACAACAAATACACAAACAAGATTCAGATTCCGATTAGTATAATCTTTGGATTTAATATACTAAGTAATAATTGTAAATTAATTTAAAATTATCTTTTAAGTAAATATATTTCTTTTTGTTTAAATATTTCTAACAAACATTAAAATCCCTTTAACTACTTAATTGATTATATTATTTTATAAACAGGTGAATGAAGTCAAAAGCAAAGCTTGATTTGATTTCTTTATTGAAAAAGAACAAAGAATAACATTACATATTAAACAATTGTCGGAAAATAAAAAATATAACAGTTCCAAAATCACATCACATTCTTAAATTTTAAATATTTTTCATACATTTTATTAATGTGCTTTGTGAGCATCACAACTTATATAATATTATTGCATTGCAGCCTATGCGCACACGAGAACACATAAATATTACCTTACATATTTCTTTTTTCTTCTTCGGAAAAGTATCAAATTAAGATAGTACATCGATAATTATGAGAGCTTGTGGAAAAACAAAATAAATAAAATGAAAAATTTCTTGAAGTACAATTAAAATTAAGAGTTGAGAAGTAAATGCATAACTGCTAAATCATGTGTATGATAAATTTCATAACTTGACGCTTAATAAAAATAAAGATCACCCTATAGCTAAACATTTTCAAAATCGATTACTTTTATAACATTGTAATACTTTGCGACAAAAACTACAGAGATCGGTTAATCAGAAAGTATGTATGTTCAACATATATTTCAGATTTTGTTGTTTATCATTACTTCCTCCGATTTTAGTTTTTTGTTTTATAATCTAGGCATTGAAATATTTTTTTTTATTATTTTTTTTTTTATTTATTTATTTATTTTATTTTTTTTTTTTTTTTCATGGAATGCAAGAACTTTTCACGATCATTAGAGGCATTTAATTAAATTACCACCTTTGATTTCAAATATTTTATGAAGTATGAAAAGAACTTTACCGAGGATTGCTTTTCATTGTAAAGTCTTTCCTAGTAGCAAAAGCTCAGCGTTTACGGAGCATCTACTTTTTGCAATCCAAAAAAAGATTCGCATATCTGCACTTATATCATGATATGTACAGTACTTTTAAAGGAACAAGCTAGGAAATATAGTTATTTTACTTTTGTTTTTTGTAATCGCAGTTGCTCATATGAAATTCACGAGCTTATTTTCTTTTGACATTTCATTTTAGAAATAAAACTCATATTTTATGTATACGTTTAAGTATTTTGCAGAATGAAGCAAGAGTGCAAATAAATGAAACAAGTGCTTTAAAAGGAATGGAATAAAATAACATTAATTCTTTTGAATCCTTTTATATTTTCACGTACTTCGTATTTTCGTGTATGTACATATACACGTACGCCTGCATATGCGCGAAAGAGTACAAGTGCATATATACATACATGTATGTACGTATGCACACACACACACATATATATATATATATATATATATATATATATATATATACACACACATCGTTTTCTTACAACCTATCATTAGAATACGTTAAATATTTGTACTTTAACTGACTAATCAAGGATTAAATTGTAATCATTCTTTCTTCGCTACTTTAATATAAACCTAGAAACATCAAACCGTTAAAAAAAAACAAAAAACGCAAATGGATATAATAAAAAATTAATTGTAATCACATTAAAATTAGTAAGGGTATAACGTTTTGACTATATACAGGTATCTTTTCTCTCTATAAATATGTTATTGTTTTTGGCACAAAACATTTAACTTAAAGTTGATTTTTAATTATAACGTGTATATGTGTTGGTTGCGCGCGTGCGCGAATATCGGTGTACGTGTATTATAAATATATGCACACGATTGCATACAAAATTGTTAATTAGACAAAGGAAAAAGATGAATAAAAACGGATATTTATTATAAATAAGACTAAAAAAACTTATGCGAACATTAACATTTGTATAAAGAGAATTATCGCAATATAACTCATGTACATACTAAATGCGTCCTTATAAATACAAATTTTAGTCTATAAAATGCGATCGTATTCCTCTCTTCAATACAGAACAACATCGAAAATCACTTATTCCATTGCTATATATCTTTCCATAATTTCTGTAAGATACTAAATATATTTACACACTTTTTAAGAATTCTTGAGTATTATAACACTAATTCACAAAAAATTGTATACCATAGTTATTAATTTGTTTAACTTGCAAAACAAATTAAAATGGATAAGAAGAAAAAACAAACAACATCTTAGGAATAGTTAAATAAATAAAAATTAAAAGGTTTGACCTTCGTTATAATCAATACAAGTAAGGGGCCTATACTCCGTCAAAAATAAAAAAAAAAAATTAAACTGCAACAGAGTAAACTAGTAAATCGGACTAAGTACGCTGAAAGCAGCGTTACACGTATTTTTTAATAAGCTAATACAACACAATGCTTTTATCGTATGAAATTTAAGATACAAATAGCTGCATTACGAGAAAAAAATAAAATAAAATAAACGAAAATAGTAGCTGACTTCAACGCGTCGATCATTATTTCAAAATCGACTAACAATGTTTGCTCTAAGAATGTAAAAGAAAATAGATAACAGAAATGCATTAATCATTTCCATATACCAAGTCATACATTGTAAATAATGAGCATTTCTTTTTTCTTTTTATTGTTTTATACTCTGATTTTTCGTAAAATAACACTATATACATATAAATTGCAGATCTTTTTCAAGGCGCAAATATCAGTATGTATGTAGGAGATTTCGTTGAACGAAATTCGCGCTAGTTTGATAAATGTTATTTATATTTTTTGGGAATAAAAAGCTCTCAAAATTGCAAAAAATTAAGTATAATTTGGTAATAAAATATAAGCAAAAGAGTCTCATCCTACTTTTATCGAGCTTCTTTATAAACCTAATCATATCTAGGAAATCCCATAATTTTAAGTTACTTTTTCTAGGAAGACTATGATTAATCGTAGGCTAAAATTCAGCTTATTTTTGTCTTAAGCCTACCAATAATATGATTGTATACTTGTATAGGTGCTTATTTTTCTTTAATTGTATTATTTGAAACTAATAAATATACGTTGTATAAAATATACTAGGAATTATAGTTTTTTGTTTCTTTGTTTAGCAGTGAGACGCACTCTTTAAAACGAGGAACGTTTTTTTTTTCTTTTTCTTTGATACATATATATGCATATATACATATATGTATGATATGATAAGAATTTTGTTTAAAGATCATGAAAAATTTTGGATTAAAATGGTTTTCCTTGTTTTCCATTAAAGCTCGCGTTATAAATGGTATAAAACACGTAAATGATACATCAATAGAACGAGCTTCTTGCGTCTCAATGTATTTGTTATACAATGAAAAAAAGAAAAAAAGAAATGAATAAAATAGTTCAAATTTGTTATCTTTTAACATTGTATATGATGTGGATGCTTTTTAAAATTTACTTTCTATTATTTATCCTGTAATTCTAACGTAGTACATTTAACATAACATACATCATTATTATAAGATAAAAATTTGAAATTTTATTTTTCTTCTTTTGAAAAAAAAAAATAAAAAAAAAATAAAAAAAAAGGATACGCGTATAAATAATTTTTTAAGAAAAAATGACTTATACAAAATATATTTAGAAAGAATTATTAGATCTGCGTAAAACTACTTAGTTAGCTGTTATAAATTGCCAAAATAGGTGAATTGATAAGTGACTTCAGGACTAGTTTGGTATATAGATTTCAATATGTTGTATTGTACATCTGAATAATATATGAAATATCAAAGGTTATCGTTGCCTTAATGCTTTTTTTTCCTTTTTTTTTTATTTTTTTGAAAAATTTCTAATTTCTCAACAATAGAAGTCACTCGACGACGCGGTTATAAGGCTGCATTTTTAAATAAATAATTACCGATTCCAGTATTTTTTTACTTAATATGAGTTCTTATACAGAAGTTATCTTTTTATGGCATTTACATATATATATATATATATATATATATATATATATAGTTTTTTTTTTTTAAATATTTATGCATGCTCGCTCAAAAAAGTGGAATGCCTTTTCATATATTAGACAAGTTTTAAATATAAGGAGAATATACGTATTTTGTAAAGAGTGAGGCTATTAGTTATTACTTTTGTCTATATATGTTACAATAATAAGAGCTTTGAGATTGTAAAAATTATCAAAAAATCTATCACAATTACCATTTACACAACAAGTAAAGCTCGCACCTGCTCTCCGTATCCCCTTATCACGCTTTTCCACAATTTTTGCATTCTTTTTTTTTTTTTATATTATTGTAAATTTAAACATCAAGGCAAATAAGGGGTGAATTTCAACAGTGGCCTAAATTAGCCAAGTAGTCTTTGACAGATAAAAATACGTAAATAGAGTAAATCTATACTAAAATATTCAAGTATATGTATATATGTAAATCGTATATATAAGCGAGCGAATGCGCGCACGCGCGCGCGAGTGTGTGTCTGTATATATGTGTGTGTGTGCGTGTGCGTGCGTGCACAAGTGCGCGCGTGCGCGAGTGTGTAAGCATAATACAATGTAATATGTATTTGGAGATAAACAATTTTCTTTATTTAACTTCCTCTTTAAATATTTGTTTTCGTGTGAGATGTTCATCGTTATTTTTCAGTTATTGCATGAAATAATTTCTTTGATTTTGTGCCAATTATAAATTCGTTAACAAAATCGAGAATTTTTCAGGTTTTTTGTTGCCTTTTTTTTTTTTACATATGTATGTATTTTTATTTTTATCTACTTATCAGTTTTCTGATTTTCTCTATATCTTTATATATTGATCAATATCTCTTGAATCATTTTTACAATTATTCAAGGGATCGATCTTATTTATATGCTTTCTGCTCTTGATTTCCATTTTATTCAAGTTTAATGAATATTTAATCCTAGTTAAATTAATAAACCATACGAGAAATTTTTTTAGTTTTATGCGATCAATTTTTTTCTTTTGAAATCCTTAATGAATTAATTTTATTTTAATAATCATTACTAATATTTACCTAGCAACAATATCAGAGACTCTTTAAGGACACAACTTATCCTGACAATGCTATTATCACAGGCAATGTTTAATATAACTCTGCTAACCATGACTACTAAATATTTTCAGAATTATTTAAATTTCGCTCTTAATGCTTATTAATATAAAAATTAAAGTCCCTAATGATATTTAGAGGATTATTTTTTACGACTGATTAGCTTAAGTGTAAATAGGCTTTGTATTAATATTCATTTCATGTAAACCCTACGTTTTGTTGGGAGACATTTTTCAAGAAGGAAAAGTCTGATAATAATACATAAATGAATAGGAACAGATATTTTTATATTTTATAATATTACATAATAAATATTTCGCATATGTATTAACTTATTTAAACATATGTTAAATACTTGGTACGTATGAATAATGTAAATATATATATATATATATATATATATATATATATAAATTATAGAAATATTTCCACGAAATATCTGCTTATTGTCAGACTTTTTCTTGACATAGATTTTTAAGACTGTGTCTCTACAACTATTTTAGCTTCTACATCATTCATACAATAATAGAGCTTTTATTGCGATCCCCAAGAAAATCATTGACTAAAAATCGATCAATGATTTTTTTTATAACTTTTTTTTATTTTATATTAAATGTAGCAACTTTGATTAACCTATTCAATAGTAAATTATTTATGAATGTGCTTTATAACATTTTTATGGCAAGAAAATGTTTTTTGCCATTTTAATCATTGTTAGATATGAAGTAACTTTGAGTAACTTTAAGAATTGCCAGATGTTGAGCATAGATCTCGTGTATAGTATTTACTTTTTGTTACTTTTCATTCAATTGAATCAAACATTAAGGCTGATCATGTAAACAACCCTACAAAATATGTTTTTCTATATGTATATATATTTTTTTATATATACATGGCTTTAATGAATTTTTATTTTTTTTGTGGAATCGTTATATTTTATATTTACATAAAATAGAAGTCGATTAGCAAATGTTTTGTTTCTTGGATTTTGCTCTAACTTTTATTCTTATACGCGCGAATGCGCGCGCGCGCGCACGCAAGCACGCACGTAAGCACGCACGCACAAGCCTCATACATATTATTTCATCCTTTCATCCTTATTTTTATCTGGCATAGACATGTATATCTAGTACATGTGTATATACATTTCATATATCTGCGTGCTTTACGTAGTAAACCATAATAAAGCATCCTGAGTAAATATTGTAACCATTATGTGTTTCGTAAATTTTTCCACACACATAAATGGAAATTAGTTAAGTCGTATTTCTTAAATAAATATTTTCATTTTCTCAAACATCCGTACATTTATCACACATGCATGTAATCATTCGTCAATGTATTCATCCAAACATGCACATATACATACATACATACTATTCATTTTTTTCTATCTTTATCTTTTTTAATAAATGTTTCACTTTTAACATGTTATAACGTTTGCATTTATCAATAATCACTGTTTATCAATAACTTTTTCACTTTTTCTCTCATGAAAATATAAATATAAATATAAATACAAAGCAATACGAGAGAAAAAGGAACGTATTCGTCAATATCGTATGTGTTAATTAAGAAGACATATCTGCTATGAAAGTTGTTTGCTGTTTCTCTCTCCAATCTTATTCAGATTGCATTTTTTATTTTTATAAATATACTTTGGATATTGAAATGGCAGCGTTAATGAACCGTATGTGGGATAAAAAGTCAATGCGAAAGCAAAGCTGCTGGTCCAAGACTAGATAAAATTTGATTTACGAACATTCTTAAAATACTGACGCATCATGTGTAATGCGTAAAAAAACTGCTCAAAGAGCTAGATGCTCGATATATAATTACTTAATAATGAGCAATTCTATTGCGAAAATAGTATTTTATCCTGAATAAATTTTTTAAAATTGGATAAAATGGTAGATAGCTAAATGAAAGCTGCATACCGTTTTTTCTTATTTTAAGAGACTATGTTTGGTCAATCGTGTTAAGTTCATTCATTTTCTTACTTCACTGTTTTTCTTTGTAACTTTCATAACTCAAGAACACTCATAATACTCATATAACTAGTAAAGCTGAATGCCGAATTAATTTTCACTATTGCTTCAATAGGCCCAGATGTTAAGAGGTATATTATTTTTAGGGCATTTTCTCCTATTATTCGTTGAAAACAATCTGATTCTGAAAAGATTATTGTTTACGCAACGCGAATGCGAAACAATGTAATTTCTATTCTCACCTCAGACTATGTATAGGGTATTCAGCACAAGAACATGATGATTATTTTTCGCAAGCGTCACTATATATCCTTCCGAAGTTATTTTAAGCCCACAACATCGTGATACCTGTGTAAAATTATCAAAACATTAATCTTATATATGCACGAATAAAGATAATACTGCAATAAAAACATAATTTTTATTGTATCTTTACAATAAGACAATTATCTATAAAATTGATTCACTTTTAAATATATCAACTTTAATTTTATTGACAAATCATACATTTTATTTATTATAATTGTAATAAATTTTGATTATAATTTATATAATATGTTAGAAAATAATTTCAAAAGAAAAAAATATCAACAATTATTTCCAAATATTATTTTAAATATTAATTTCAAATCAAAGTAACTTTAATTTTAAAAATTACACCTATTTCTATTTATGTATTTAATACTTGTATATCAATGAACATCGATGAATATTATTAAATAAACTTTTATTAAAATTTCAATATTTAATTATGTCGACTAACGTCGTTCAAGTACATTTCTAAGAACAATAAGTTAAATTTCACGTGTGTTAAAAATTGTTTAAACAACTGTCATTGACAAATAAGTTTTAAATAAGATACGTTTTGAATTCGTTCAATAGTTGAATGAGTAACTAAATTAATAGATGAAAATCTGAAATTGCATTTTAAATTTACGATCGCAATGCAAAATTTATATGAACGATGAAATTGTAATTCTTTAACTGAATGTTATTAGTCTAAAATAAACATATTTCTTAATAGAAATGAAAAGCGTAGATGATATATAAAGTAAGCCTTATGGTAGACAACCGAAGCATTATTGACTAATTATTAATTAGGTCTAATAAATATTTAATTCTTTTAAATACAATAAATTAAAAAAATCAAACACAGGGTCATCATATATTTTTTTAATAAAAAACTATTAAATATATTATGCAATCATTTGATTTTATTAATTTTATTAAATTGATGTAGAACTAATCAATTCCAAACATGAAATTCTTGTGCTAAAAATTATTTGAATTTTTATTAATAGTAATAATAATAAAATTATTTGATGAAATATACAATTTTAAAAATACTGTAATATTTAACAAAATAATATAGATATGGATGGTATATATGATAAAATAATGCATCCAATTTTTTTTTTTTTTTGAATTATTTGAATTATTCTTTAGTTTGTTACTGCATTAATTATACTTTGGAATGTAATGTTCATATTCAAATATATTATGTTGAAATTGTTTTTAGTAAAATTATAGTAATAAATAGTAAAATTATTTTATTCTGCATTCAAAATCACATAATTCAATGTAATGATTACTTTAAAAATTAACTTATTATTACTTACTTTAACATAGGGACATTCGAATTCAGAAATCAAAGAGCCATCTCTTGAAAACACTGCCACATGAAATCTATTTCCATGGGAATCTCCAATTAAAACATCTCCTGCATCGCTAATGTCAATCCCGTTAGGGAAATTTGTTATATTTTCACAGCCAATGCGACGTAGGAATTGACCATCTTCATTAAATACTACAACACAATGACCTTTAAAGTCACACACAAAGTATTCTTTTCCTATAAGCAGTAAGTTAAAATTGATTAATTAAAACAAATATTTTGTAATTTTCAATATAGCTTAATTAAGCATTGTTTAATACCACTGATAGCAATATCGCTAGGTTCTCTCATATAATCACTACAATCGAACCATCTAAGAAGATCGCCTGTATCATTTATTACAAATACAGTTGGAGATACACTGTCAACAGCGACAATATATCCATGTCCAGTAACGGCTAAACCAGCTACGATATCAATGTAGCGAATCGCGATTTTCTTTATAAAATGACCATTTTTTGTAAATATTTGCATTCTTGATCTTTCATTGCCTCTATCGCATACCACATATTTTCCACTATTTTTCATAACCGCTACTTTTCGTGGATACCATAATTGTCCTTCCTCTTTTCCAGGAATTCCAAATTGCGACTTAAAAATACCAGTTTTCTCAAATATCTACAAACAAATATAGAATATTATAAATATACAGAGATAATGTAACGTAAGAACTAGCTATTTGGAAGATTGTCATTATATTACCTGAATACGATGGTTGTTTGTGTCTGCCACAATAATATCTTCATCGATACCTAAGCAAAAACCATGTGGAGAATTAAATTGGCTCTTACTAGGACCTAATTGACCGAATTTACAACGAATTTGCATTGGCGTTAGTTTTGGATTAGTAGATCGAGAGTGATTATTAAAATTAGTTGTCGTCGAATTAGTTACGTTGCCAGCAGTATTACCCATTACTATAGACATATTATGCATTGAATCTCCGCTAATATCATCTGCACAAAAAAAGGATATTAAAATTTAAATACAAGCAAAATTTAACTTTTTAAATAAATAATCTAATTTTAATTACTTGCTCCTTGTGATAATATTGGTGAAGTGGAGGAAGAAAGCGATTGAAAACCACCATTTAAAAGTGTATTACCAGTTAAAGTAGCTAAATTTGGTGCGTCAACTAAAACAGGCGAAGATCCACGTCCCAAGACCAGATTGTTTCCATTCATTGTCGAAGGATTTAAGTCTATAAAATATTACTATTGTAAAAAATACAAATATTGATGAATAAATTTATTATGAAAACAAACTACCTTGATTCCCTAAAGAATTGCCAAGTTTAGCTAAAGCTTGTAAATTATTTATAGCATTACTGGTTGAATTAAGATCACCTGCAAAGAGATCGGCAAGAGTAAAGGACGGAGTTGGGCTAGGGTTGGAGCTTGGGTCGACTACTCCCGCATCACCCGCGATTTCAACTTTTTCAGCAAGACTTGCCAATTGCTGAAGATTATACTCTTGAATACTGGTGAGACCATGCATTGGACCTGTAGGAATAGAAACTGGGACAGGTGGTGGAGGAGGAATATTAGGACTTGATGCTGGAGGAATGGCGAAAGATGTGTCACCTTCAAATGAAGATTGCATTGATGCTGGAAGGGAAATTGGTGAACTTGCACTCATTGAACTTGAACATCCAACAGATGTATGATTGACTTGATGAGTTGCGAGTCCAGGTAAACTATTAATAGTACTAGTTGGAGATTTTGTGTCTGATATATTTTCAGCATAAACTTTTCCAAAAGCCTCCTAAAATAAGTTTAATTTAATAATCAAAAGTTGTTATTATCATTTATATTAAATATTCATTCGTCTGCTTTGAATAATAAAATTGAATGATTAAGAAAACTAAATATATTTGTACATCTACATAATGAGACGTGCACATAACTTCTATTCATATATTATTTATATACATAAATGTAAATAATTCAATATTCTTACTCCAATAGTTTTTTCAAAATTATTATAGTCTGTTTGGAATTCTATTAAAAATGTGATGTTTGGCTTTGGCATATTTTTTAATAAATCCAATAGTTGATTAGTCACAATTCGACGAAGGGATAGAATTTCCGTTGCATCCCCGTGCTCTAGAAGACGATTGGTAAATTGACATGCACACTCGATTTTTTCAACAGTCTTTTCAACACTAAAACAATTATTAAAAATTGATGTTAAATAAAGATTATTCCCATATTTCAAATATTAAATTTATTAAGTAATCTTTATTACCTATGGAACGAATCCATAATCTCAAGTTCTCTTTCAGAATGAATTTTTTCCAAATCATTTAGAGCATTGTCACGACATTTTTCAAGAATCGCCTTATAACTTTGAAATGTTTCAAGAATTAAATCTTTAGCTTGATCACGTTGAGCTTGTAATTCACTGAGTGCATTGCCCAGTTGAGAAGAAATTTGATCACAATCTCCAATTCTACCTTTACTTTCATTTACCAAATTGAATAATTCTTCTTTTTGACGGGGTTCCGCATCTTTTAATCTTTCATAATGATGTTCTGGTGCTTTATGTTCAACAAGCAAGCATTCGTTACATATTGGAATCTAAAAAGTTATTTTACCAAATTAAAATTATAAATTTATTTAAAAAGAAAACTGTGCGTTTATATATATATATATATATATATATATATATATATATATATATATATATATACATAATATTATTATTAATTTTATAATACAGTATCGTTCATAAATCTTAATTATAAATAAAAAACAATGCTTAGATATAATAAAATGAAATTGAAAATTCTTACTTGACACGTGTAGCAATAAAATTTCATGGTTTCTGTTGAATGAACGTCGCAAAATATTGGCTTGTGTATCGGTATAGCTTCATCTGATTTTCGAAGATCATCAAATGTAATAACCTTATGACTTTCAAAACACCGCATAAACTGATGCGCGGTATTACAATTAGGACACAGAAAGTTAGCGCAATCAGAACAACGTGCTACAGCGTTTTCCATAGTCTTACACGATGTACAAAGTACATATGTGCTTTTAATAGCAGACATATCTAAAATATTAGTCAGTACATAGTCACAGGGTAAGGAAGCTGCTCCTTTTGAGCTAACCTGTGTTTCTTGTTGACACATTGGACAAGTGATGATTGAGTTTGATTTGAGATCAATATCCTTACAATTAGCAAGTTTATCAAGACATGCTTCGCAAAATACATGGAGACAAAAAAGAACACGAGGCGAAGATAAATTGTTAGAGCAAATGCCACAACGATTTTGATCTAAAGTGTCTCCGCTACTATAATTCATTTCCTCTAACGAGTCAACTTGATTTCGGGAACTGAAACTTGCACTTTTTTCTCTATAACTTTCAGAACCATCGATCTCATCACTTTTAACTGAACTACTGTGCGAAGCAACAGAAGTAACGGAATTAGTTCCATTAGACACTGCCAAAGTCGTTGAAGCCATAGCGACAGTTTGGCAATTGTTTAATTTATATATACTTTTATAATTTTAGAAAAATTTGAACTAAATGGACAGATAGTTTTTCCTAGTAAATAAACATAAAAACTTTTAAGCTTTGTACTAAATTACTTGTTTCCAATAAAAATAAATGTGAAATTCATAACACTTTCAAAGTAATTAAACATTTAAGTAATTCTTTCTGGAGACGAGAACCACGTAGCTCGAAGAAGTTGTCAATTTGTGTATTAAAGAAAAAAACATAAATAACAACTGAATAATATAGTCGAGTTCGGATAATAGACTAACGATACTGTGACATATTAGGGGGGCGAGATTAGAGATGAGAAAGAGAGGGAGAGACAATTGAATGTTATAAGCTTAGCGATTTTCAAGAAACAAAAACGCTTCCATCCGAATATCAAGAAGTTACTCCGATGTTTTTTTTTCGTTTTTAAAAAGGCACGTCGCTGTAACGCTATTGATTTTTAGTATTCAATCACACTCCATAAATGCAGCAACCACCACCTGCCATGTTGTTTTTCCACGAAGTGACGGAGGACTTGATTTTCAGCTCGACCTCGACAGCGTAGTAAAACAGTTGCGCGTCGTCGTGAAGATACCCGCATATCGCGAGCTGTCCCTTTTCCCCTTCGATTTCTTCAAATTACACGTTACTTTCTTTTTATAATTAAAAAAAAAAGTAGCTCGTCGAGATTTGAATATGTAGTGAAGATTACGAATCTAGAACTATAGGTGTAGCGTAGCGAGTTTCTTCCGAGCTCTTGACTCCCTCTCGCGCGCACAATCTCTCGGGCAAGATTAGGTATATATATATGTATACATATACATATATATCTATCTAGCCATACACATATGCATATATACACATGCATAAATACATAATATATCTGCATATATATATATATATATATGCTAATGTTCGTAAATGCATGCACATACACACAC